GGTTTCAACATGGTGGCCATATGCTTTCCCTTGTTAGGAATACTTCACTGTTGTGCCCAGCGGAATTTGGGCAGCAGAAATGGATCCTCAGCCAGAGAAAATCTTTATATCCAGGCTTTTGAGATCAGAAAAGAAAAGTCTGTGGTATATTTAAATGTCATATACTTACAATGCCATTTGACAGGTTTTGATAAATGAGAAATACTCCACGTCCCTCTGTTGGACTGAACTTTTAATCTCCTGACATCTGGGTCCTGGCAGAGGACAGAAGGCCTGTGAATGCTGCTGTCAGCTCCAGTGTTATCTGATCTATTTCACAGTCTGCAGCCCAGGTCTTGTCTCTGCATGGCCATTACTTTAGTATGCAGCTTTAACCTTGACTTTCACACACATTGCCCCAGATGCACAGTCATGTACTTTGCATTTGCAGATCTTTTTGTTGCCAGGAGTTAATCAGGCAAAACAGGTTATGTACAGTTTGACAGCTGTTATGAAGTTTTTTGAGTTAAGATATCGCTTCTATAGAAACCTCTAAGTCCAAACCATAAATCCAATTTACTTGGCAGACACATCTTGTTATCCTCACAAACAGTGATGCTGATTTGCATGTTAATCAACCCTCAAGTATGATATTATAATTTTGATTATAAAACTTGAATTTAGCAGGCATTTTGGTTCATGTTCCGACACTAAATAAGTACTCTGATTGAATTTATCTTAGCACTAAAGTATAATGTCACAGTTTCTTATTTCAGATGACCAGAAGTCAAGATGCTACAGCCATCCTTAGCCTAAGGAGGATCCCTATAACACAAGCCAATATTTGAACCTCCATTATCAAGTGTGATGACATCAGGATGGATGAAACAGCTTGATTCTGTTGTTAGTTTCCAGCATTATTCATTAAGACAGAATGTTGCACAGATTTTGTTTTAAGCTATTTTAAGAACCAGAACATGATTTTACATCGGCCTGTTTGGAGACACATTTTGGCAAAATGTTAAGCAACATGTTTCCTGAGTGTTAAGACAGATCTCATGACAGTATGAAACATTACGCAGATGACATGTGCATATACTGTGAGTACATAGCAAAATAGAGAAGATCACAGCAAAGTGATTGATAGGGAATAAAATACCCTGTATAATTTGACTGATGGATAAAGAGTGACAGTTAGACAGCCAAAAAGCAGCTTCAAACAAATGACAGGAAGCAACGATTAATAAGCGGGACAAATGGTAGGCTCTGATGAAGACAGTCTTCAAGCTTGATTACACACAATGTCTCCTGTATTGAACAGCACTGAATGAAGCTGACATCTGTCTGTGAGAACATGGAGTCTAATTAAACAGGCATACAGAAGGTTAGACTTCAAAATCAACCAAAACTATAACCAAACTATAAACTAAGTTTAAAGGCTCAACATATGCCTGTAAATAAGTGAACATTTTTCTGTGTGTGAGGAGATTACATCAGTTTCAATTTCTAGTTATATCCATACATATTTTGTGTCCATATAATATGGGAAAAAACATGTATCACTTATTAAAATTAGTTTTTTACATTGCGGAATTGCAACATTTACTTAAGTCAAATATCTGAGTACCTCCTCCACCACTGTATTAAACAAAGAAATGCTCATAAACGTTATTAAAATAAATCAGTAAGGAACTATTTAACATCCCCATCCCCCCACATCAAACCCACCCCTGTTTCCCCAATGAATCCATTCACACCACATGCTGCTGGATATTTTAAAGCACACTGTACAATTTAAAGCATTCACTTATTTCCCAGGGGTTATACATTTTTGAGGTATAAGAGTTATTTCTTTGACATGTCAGCACTGCAAGCTGTGCTGTGGCTCCAGTTCACAGTGTGCATGTGTGTGTTCACCCAGGTGTGTGCCACTTCAGCTGTATGCAACACAGACAGACTACGCCATGATCGTTTCCTTTAGGACTGCAAGAGAGTTACGCAAAATGCGAACACACTGATTTCGCCGACTAGCACAGAAGGGTTTATGTTACAGTAAAATGAAACACCTTAGAGGTCTGAATTTTGCTATTTTACAATCAAATTTAAACTGGTACTCGTAACGTGTAGCTACATTGCCGTTTTCCATGACTCTGAGGATGCATACAGAAGCCTCTGACCTATCTGTTTCCTCTTCAATTGTTGTTCAGGATTCAGAGTCAGCAATATTCTACTGGCATTAGTTTTGCTGTGAGGTGCAAGCTGCTCCAATAAAATGGCCTCCCACTGGGTTGGAGAAACCTGCTGTCTTTTGTTCTCAGCTGTTTCTACTTGCTCCTGGTCCCTTTTTAATATCTTTGGTATTTTTTCATCCATCTTCATAATACGCTAAGCTTGCCGCTGGCTCCTCTTTGTACCTCTTCTTATATCCTTTTGTTTGCTTCACCCTCATCCCATACAGCCAGACTCTTCGTTCCCTTTTCCTATCCTCCTCACGTTATCCATCATCGGCTGGCATTTTGCCAATCAGTGATGCATATCAGCTCGCTTTTACCGTTAATGAAATACATCCCCTTTTTCTCTCTATCTCTAAGCCCCTGGATGGCGCACGCCTTTTTATCATTCTCAGCATTCCCCAGTTTTGTGCGTCTTCGCTATCATTTGCTCCTCTCTGCTCTGTGCTCTGGGAATATGTTCTGTACATACTTGACCCATGACTAATGAACGCATCTCAGTTCATATCAACCAACCCATTGATCTGTGTCAACTCAGACATCGAGTTAAAGCATTTGAGGTCAATGCTGAAGATTTTTTTTCCACATTAGAATACCATTTTATTTGTTAATTTACAAATGCAGTTCTCATTGTTAAGATTCTATCCAATGGAAGTCTTTATGTAGAGGATGTTCGCAGTAGTAATTGCAGAGCTCAGTAACCACAGAGATCCTTCTGAGATCATATCTGGCCTGGACACACTGCCCATGCCCTTGACTGGTTCGTGAAGAGGAAACACTGTAAACAGCCTCACTAATCAACTCCTGGAGGAGCTCAGGGTTGGCTAATGAAGCTGTGGGGATGTAACTGGAATCACTAGTACTTCGAGAGGTGGCAACGTGAGCAGCACATACACGGCAGTGAACCAATCAGATGTCGGCAAATTCAATTTCAGTTCCTTTTTTACATCAAGAAATATCTGAAGAGACCACTGCTTGTTTGTCCCTTATCTTTAATGTATGTTTGGTGTTTATAAACATAATAGTATATGGTTTGCCGTAACAGCATAATGCCTGGCTCTGATGAAACACAAATTACCATGTAATCACAAATCACAGTCAATATCATTACAACATGGCACACTGCACACAGTGGTCTGCTGTTTTGCTGTCATGCTCATAACATCTAAGCTAGCCTAGCCTTACTATTTTCTGTTGTATCTTGCTGGTCACTTGGCACAAACATAGAATTTGCATCATCAGTTGCTTCAGGCACCACAACCCTCCTGTGGCTGTGGAGATACAGTGGATCATTCGATGATTGCAGGCTTGGTGGTTCAATACCTGCAATACCCTGTCCGCTGTGTCTGCATGGTCGTTAGCTGCCATCAGTGTGTGAGTGTGTGTGAAAGTGCTTAACTGGATAAAATGAATGAATTAGACAGTGTATAGACCTAATATGTTCCCTGATCTCTATGGGTTACATGCATCTAGTATGCTTATGTGTTACATGCCATACAACTGGTCGGTGTTTTAAGAAGTAGATGAAAATATTGGATTTTAGAGTGCTGCTTGCCTGCCTGCATTCACCATGAATTTGGCTCTCTCTTTTTCTTTCTTTTCTTCTTTTTCAAGACTTGTCAACTGTAATCTGTCAAGTGACAGAGCGCTGGTATGCTTTTTCTTAGTAAAATAAAAAAAAATGGTAAGGAAACATAAAAAACAATCAGGTTTGCTCAGTTCTGCAGTGGCTGCATATATTCTCTGTAAGCGACCTAATGAGTCAATGTCAAACAGACTTCCCCCTAGCTGTTTACAGCAATACATGTTTGAGGGAGCAAATGAAGAAGTGTGGTTATAAGTAGCTCACGGTGTGTGTGTGTGTGTGTGTGTGTGTGTGTGTGTGTGTGTGTGTTTTGTGTTTTAACGCTGTGTATGCACAGGGAGGTAGAATACTTTGGTCACCGAAACAATCCACACCAATAGCAAAGCTGCTCGCCTGAATGGATGAGGCTCCCTGCTGTGTCCTGTTCTAATCCTGAGCACCTGAGGGACTTGGCTCAAACATAAGACTATGCAAACCAAAAGAAACTCTTGACATCTAAATTTGCACAGAAGCTGTTTTTGGGGAGGGATTTTTTTTTTTTTTTTTTTTGCCATCACATTTTCCACAGTGTCCTGATCTCTGAGGACACGGAGAGATTGTGCTACATAGTTTAATCACCAGTCACATGGCTTCTTACAAGTAGCCTTACATTAAATTGTTCATCACCTGCTTGTCACATGAAGAAGGTGGAGAAGCGCAGGCAATCTGTTGTGTCATTATTGATCAGGGAGATGAGCAGGATATACGCAGTGTGTGAGTGTGTGTGCTTGCATGTGTGTAAACTCTCCACTAGTCATTAAATAGATTATAGCTGCACTGTTGGCCAGGATGAGTGATGATCAGTGCTCTTAGTGTGCATTGTGTTCTCCTGTGTATATGTGCTCATGAGGAAGCGTGTAAGTGTCCCTGTGTAAACGTGTTTATCCAGTTGCCTGTGCGTGTGTGCGTGTGTGTGGAGGATAAGTGCGCTGCTCCAGGTTAACAAAAGGAAGATTGAGAGCAGCAGCAGTACGACCCAGAGGTTACAAACCATTTCTCAGTCCAGTAACCTTAAATTCAGACGTAACCTAGCCTTATCAGACTATGGAAAATCCAATATGTGATTATAAAAAGGGAGGAAGAGACAGCAAATGAGAAAGGAAACTCTGAAGATATATCTGCTATAACTAAAAAATATATAAACACAATAATTCTGTGTATTCTAGGTGTGAGTGTGAGTGAGGAGCCTCCTCTTCACAGAGTCACCACCGACCCTCCATCAACAGATCATCCGAGAGGGGCGCCATGTCGCAGCAACAGCCTCCAGCCACCTTCTACCCCAGCCCTGCCTCGGCGCTACCTGCCTGCCCAGCCAAGAAGCTCCCCTGGAGGTCAGTGGACGTTTTTGTAGGAGAACACAGCATCATTCTTGGTTCAACCATGAACAGATTATGAGACAATGAGCCCCTGGGCACAGATAAACACAGGGCCCCACCACCTCTCTTAAACAGGAGCAAGGCACATGTATCTTTGTAGTTGTTATGTGTCATGCATGGCTCTCTGTGAGGTCATTTTCTGTCCCTTTGAGGTAATTTTGTGGCTTTTTCGGTCATCTTGTGTTGCTCTGTGGTCATTCTGCGTCTCCTTGTGGTGTTTTTGTGTCTCTTTGTGGTCATTTTGAGTCTCCTCTGATCAGTTTGTGTTAATTTAAGTGATATTTTGCAGGTGAGGGTAGGGGGGCCCTGACACTTTGGGCCCCAAGGCCGTTAGACCTGTTCAGAAATTCATCCAAGGGTTTGACTACAAAAAATAATTTGTTAGAAACACTCAGAACTGAAAATACTATTAGATTTTGTGATAATCTTGGCATAAATTCTACATGGACAAAATTCAGTCACTGTGGTGCGGGCAGTGTACTCTCATGTATATGCAAATACAATCTGAGCTTCACATATGTGTGAGAGAGAGAAACAATTTTCCGCCAGCGACAGATTGTGTCCTATTGTCACATGCTGTTGTCACATATGTGTTGAACAATTTAATAACCAACAAACCATACATGATGTATTATGTATGCAGTGGTGTTCAGAAGCAGAGGAATATTTCCTAAGCGTAAAAAAAAACAGGTTTATAGTCAGCACTCGGGAATCAAGGAGCAGGCACTTATGTTCTAGATGCAATACTTTGCACAAATGTTAAATATTCACACTGTGAGAAATCCACAGAAGAGGCATAGAGTGTTCCTTCATAACTTTAACTTTTAAACTTTCCTCTGTCTCCATTAAGTGAAGCACCTAACTAAGCACAATCTCCAGCTTTCAGGGGTTGTTGAAAGTCATTTAGGGAAATGCTGGAAGCTTCTCACTTAACACTTCGGCACTTCACTTCACTTTCAAGATCACTCACAGAATGTGTAGAGATATCCGAGGGTGGAATTGCCTTTCAAGTGTTCGTTTCGGCCATTTGTTCCAGTGTGCTCTCGTTCATGATGACAGCACTTTCTCATGTCCTAGAAAACGTTCAGATCCCATCCAAGAGCTTAAAAAACTGCTATTAGCTCCAGCACACATTTCACATGTTGTGCTGCTAAGAAATGTTTATGGACTTCATCAGGTCACAACTGTCTCTTGGTTAACGGTGCCAATACGTTCTGTTCCGAAGCAAGGAGGCACACTATCAGTGATGCTTTTCACACACGGTTGTATTTTTCACACATGGAAATTAACACCAGAGTCCCTGTAGTAGGCTATCACACTCCGCTCACTCACACTTATCTCATGTCTTTAAACTTTAACAGTTGCTGATTGAATCGAAGATGTAAAACTACTATCTCTGCTGTAGTGTGGGCAGAATATCTTAAAAACGAACACAACCTACAAGGGTAAAACACATTTTAGACAACAAAATAACGTAGAGATGATTGTTGTTTTGTTGCCAACAGGTTTCCCCCCCCCAGCCAGATCTGTGTTCTATTATAGGAATGCAGACAGTGTAGCGGCTGGCTGTGAGAAAATCTCTCTCACCTTGTGTTTCTGTAGGCTGGAGCTGATTTTAAATGTGCTGTAAATTATTGATGAAGTATTACCTGAGGAGTCCCTGTCAACCTGCAAGGTGTGCACAGACAGTAGCCTGCTTTAATCTGTACTATATTCAGTTTTTGTCTGCCATACAGCACCGACACACACATTTTGCCAGACACGCACACACACATCTTATCAGTCAACAGACACCTCTGTCCTGTTGAGCCTCTGAAAGATTCAGACAAAAAAAAAAAACTGTGCCGAGAACAAGCTTTCACATGGTACTCACACACACACACACATTTTTGGATGTGCTAACAGTTGGTCAGTCAGTCTACCACTTTAGTCCAGATCCTCAACAACTTGACTGTGATGACTGTGGCTCAGAGGAAATGAGGAAAGAGGAAATGTGTTTTTGATTTTAGGGTGAACTGTCCTTTTAACTAACTCTTGTTTTCATCCATATTGCAGAATTAATTGCATAATTGGTACTTGGGATGCACTTTGTCAAAATATTGTTTATCCACAATTTTCTAATGTAGCCCACTGCGAGGAAGATCATTTTGGAGTTGCTGGAAGGCATGTTAATTTTTTATTTTTCTACTTTTCTGTTTAGCTCTGCTCCCAGGCATTGTGTTTAAACACCTCACAGCAGCCTCTTGCCAACAATTTATTTTGGAAAGTGTTTGTTTAAAATAAACTGTACACTCCAACTTCAAGTGCAAGTTCAAGACAGTCTTGCTGGGTTTTGGTAACAGTATGCTTGACAGTAAAGAGTCACTCTGAGAGCCACTTTTGCATGACCACACCAACACATAGCACAGTGAACACACACACATACACTGTCTCTTCAGGCCTGAAGTATCTCTCCAGGGTTATTTGGGGGATTTGTTCAGGATCAGAGGCTTCTCTCCCATTACAGGTCTAATTAGTTTCTTTTCAAGGCCTCTCTCCTTTTCTCCTCTCTGCTTCACAACAGATTCCCTGCTAACCTCCTGAAACCTACTTCTTTATTCACTATCATCTGTTTTTTTTTTCTCCACACAGTTTTTTCTCCTTCCCACTTTGAATCATTCTGAGCTCCTGGGTTTCACATTTATTGTTTCAAATCCAGCTACTTTCTTTCCTCCCACATACCTCACCTACACTCTGTGACAGAGCTCATGATTGTATTGGCTGCAAAGTTTGTCACAGAGAGCAGGGAGGTGATGGGCACATCTCCCACAGTATGCTCTGCTTCTCTTTGACCCAGCTAGTCCCGAGGGACATAGTTATACAACACAGCAGGGGGGAGATAGCTGGAGATGAAAGCAGGAGGGTAACAGAGAGATTGAAAAAAGTTAGGAGAGGGGAAAATCAGCAAAGAAATGGAAAAGAGAGTGAGGAGTCGAGGGGGGAAAGATGGTTGGTTTGGTGCTTGTGTGTATGTAGCAGGAAGTATGGTTGACATAAAGTTCTATGAATATGACGGATCAAAGAACAGGCCTACCAAGCACAGATCCAGGGACCCAAATGGCAAATGTCAAAAAATGGCCTGCACTTGCTCGAATTAACATGTACCAACCAGGAAGAGACTCTAAATGTCCACAAAGAGACATAAAAAGAGATGCAAAGGAACTTCAAAGAGACACAAAATAACTACAAAAATGGGCAAACAACCACAGAGACAAAGAATGACCACAAAGAGACACAAAACAAACACAAGGAGACACAAAATAACTACAAAGTGACACAAAATGACCAAAAATTACTTCAGTAAGACTCAAAATTACCTCAGATATGCCCAAATGACTACAAAAAGACACAAAATAACCACAGGGGGACACAAAATGGCTACAAAATGACCAAAAATAACACAAAATTACCCAAAAGAGACCCCAAATTACCTCAATAACACTCAAAATCCCCTTAAAGACACCCAAATGATTACAAAAAGATACATGATAACCACAAGGAGACACAAAATGGCTACAAAGTGAGACAAAATGACCAAAAATAACACAAAATTACCCCAAAGAGACCCCAAATTACTTCAGTAAGACTCAAAATTACCTTAAAGACGCCCAAATGACTACAGAAAGACACAAAATAACTACAAAGAGACATAAAATGACCAAAAGTAACACAAAATGACCCCAATAACACTCAAAATCACCTTAAAGACACCCAAATGACTACAAAAAGACACATAATAACCACAAGGAGACACAAAATGACTAAACAGAGACACAATACCACAAAATATGTTGCATAACAACTACAAAGAAACAGAAAATCCACCACAAAGTCTGTGCATAGGAGACATGGTGCAGCCCTTTGCATATCTGTGCCTGGGGGCCTATTGTGTCATGATCCGTCACTGTATAAATATTGGCTTTTTAACATATTACTGCTGCATTTACTTTGTCATGTATTATCATTATGTCATTGTGTGCTTTTGTGATTAGCCCCACTGATCAGTTGTACCCTTGATTGACAGTTGGCAGGAAGGAGTTTCAGCGGAGCTCGGAGGTCACGCGCTCTCTCCCGTCCTCCCCAAAGAGGCTGGCAGTGGTTCCTCCCAAACCTCAGTCCCCGGGTGAGTCTTCTCCTCATTACCAAAACATATCACACAAAATGCATGTATTAACTGTGGCTCCTAATCTTTCTCTGTCAGCCCACCTGTCTACCATCCCAAACCGTTCCAAAAATAGTCCTTAGATTTATGACCTCTTCTTAATCCACCCACACCCAGAAGCTGCTCGCATCCATTCCAAATATCTTGTGATTTGATCCATGGCAGTCTGTACTTTCCTTCCTCTTGGCTCTGCAATGGTAAAATAATTTTCACACAGTATTTCAGAGGGGCCTCCAATTCTTTCCTTGCAGAGCTGACACACATCTCCTCAGGCTACACCTTTCTCTTTGCTCACTTCACTATTCTCACCCAAGTGCTACTGTTACTGTTCAACCTTCTCTTCGCTGCATCTTTGGCCGGACCTCTTCTTCTCCCACACAGTGGCAAAATAAAAACATTGAGTTTTTCTCTCTGATTCTCGGCACTGTAGCTTCTCTGTTGTTTACGAGGATTTTACAGATATTGAAAGTTTGCTGCTCCTACTTGAAGCTGCTCTGGACAGTGTGCCAGCAAAATGTCAGCGTGAAATGAAAATTAAATTTACCTCAAGAGCAACCCTTTAACCACACCTTAACTGGATCATACTCACCTACACACACACACACGTACACACACAATAGTCTCTGCACCCCACAAGGCCTGCCAACACCTTTTCTCATTGTTTCTAGCATCATTATTCCTCCTCCATCAACCCTGCTATTATCTGCATGCTGCCGCCACACTCAGCCACATGAAGTCATTTGGTATTCACTCAACTCTCTCTAACCTTTCAGGTAGAACCCATGTCTAAGTGTGTGTGTGTGTGTGTGTGTGTGTGTGTGTGTGTGCCTGTAACAGAGGAGATATCATTTGCATAAGTCTTCTAGAAGTCGTTTTCAAAGACGGTGAATCCTTCAAAGTAAAGACGCTGATGAAGATGTAATATTGAAACATGCTGATATTTGCAGTTTTGCACATTTTTAGAAGCAAAGCCTGGATTTTTAAATTGCATGAAAACACATCTTTTTTGTCTTTTTTTTAACCATTTAACATTGATTTCTTACATTTTTCGCAGAGAAATTCCCCATTTTAGGTTTTACATGCACACATACACTTGCAGATATATAAGTATGTGTTCAATTTGAGCTAAATTGTCCTTAAACATCCATCATAATTAGAATCATACCATATCTTCAGGTACCTTCCCCCCATCTTACTGAATTCTTTGTCTCTCTTCTCTTGTCTCGTTTACCCGTTGGCCCACAGCACTCCCCTCATTTTATCCCCCACCTCCCTTTAACCGATCTTTCACTCATTACCTGGGACCCTGCACCCCAAGCCCAGCCTCACGTTGTCATGGAGACGGCGCCGCATGCTTCAGTGGGCCTGAATGATATGGTTTAGGCAGGTGATGTGGGGCTGCAGTGATTTCATTACTATGTGTGCAGACACGTGCATGCTCAGGCTTGTTTGTCAGTCTGTGTGAACATACAGAATATATGTTTTAAAAGAATTCTCTCTATCCGGCTATAATGCTGTGTTTTGATGCTGCGTCTCTCCACAGGCTGGTATGTGCTCACACTATATGACAAGGTGACTCACACAGAGGTTAATCGGTCCGCCTGTATGTCAACTGCAGCTTAATGGCTGTGCACCACTCAAAGGGAAAATGGCTTTCACATGTTTGTGTTTGACTGGCCTTTAAATCACATCCTTTGTTAATGGCCTTTACTCAATGTGCCTAATGTTTTCACACAAACACAACGCAAGTAATACACTCATGCAAGTATACAGCGACACCGTCCTTACATCATTGCATCCTGCTGCTCAATCATTTCTTGATGATGTATTCGCATTCGTCATGAGATTAGATGGTCCATCATGAGGAACACTAGACTGGGAATTACCCCAAGGCTTCCTCTGTGGAAAAGATTCAATTAACTTACTATCATTTATCATGTGAGCATAGTCGTTAGCAAGAGGTCAGGTCAAATCTCCTCTGATTTAATACTCATCAATTTCATTATTTTAGATAGATGCGTCCTAGTTAGATTTGAGAATTAGTACATGACTAATTAATGACATATGGGAGATATCATATTCTCCATATATCCTATAAATATTTCTATATCATGTGTATTTATAAAAGGAAAACCATGCTTGTGCAGAGTGTGTAGTGTGTAGTAAAGTCGGGCAGGGTTCAGGCGAATATTTACAAATGATGTTGCCTACTTGACATGCTTCACTTCGCTGTTAATATCCTAACCAATCTACAGTTTCCTTGCTATGTCACCTTTTGGTTTGTTGTCAAAGTGACATAAGAAAATGGACATGGCAGTGTTAAAATATTTCAGCAGCAGCACATTAACTGCGTCGAGCAGAGGCCGTGTTCAGACATAAAACACAGAATGGTTCAGGTCAGCCTTGGTTACAGTGGCACTTCAAGGTGGGACCAGGGGTGCCATGGCCACCCTGATACAATTTGCTAGGACCCTTATCGGACCCACTGGTGAAAAAAAATTGAGGCCAGCATTACTGTCTTTAAGAGGCTGTGGCTTGTTTTTTTAAGCTGGGTAGCAAAGGTACTAGTACCTAAGGCAGTGGTTCCCAACTGCTGGGTCACGAACCAAAAGTGGGTCACAGGTCCATTCTGAATGGACGTGTCAAGTTTGTACAAAAACACACTTTATTTTAAAGTGTGGTCAATTTTTGGTACAGAGCTTTCATTTTGAAGTGCTGTTTCCTGCTTTAGATGCAGTGCCTAACGAACAGCTACTTGACAGAGACAGCAAACTAGCTCGACAACATGGCCAAACACAAGAATGATGCTGAATATATGAAACCTTGTGGTGGTCTGGAGCCCGTGGCTGATCCAGTTGGGAACCACTGACTTAAGGCATTTATTCTGCATCACTTGTTGGGAAGGGGGTTGAATAATGCTCCAAATTTAGGCTAACTTTTGGCAAAGTAACAACTTGCACAGCCATTTTCAAAGGGGACCCTTGAACTCTTACCACAAGATATCTGAATGAAATGGGATATCTGGGTACCCACGAGTCTCCCCTAAACTTGAGAAGGCTCTGTTACCACTCTCGGACTCGGCTCAGATTTGGACAGAAAAATGTGTCCCAAGCTGTGTTCTAATGCAGACTCATTTGAAATTCAATTTGATTTTCTGTGTTTGTTTTTTTTTATCCCCACACAGTCCAATCTGGGCAGCGGCCCGCAGCGGCAGTGCGAGGATCAGCTCCCCCGGGGTCCCCTCGCCGTGTGGCCCCCCTGAGGCTGCAGCAGGAACAGCAGGAGAGCCTGCAGAGAGAGAAAGAGGAGGCTCAACAGAAAGAGAAAGAAAGGCAAGCTGAGGAAAGAGAAAAAGAAGAGCAAAGAGAGGAGGTGAGTCGTTGGGGGAAAAAAATCTGCAGCGCCACTTTTTTTTCATTTGCACTATTGTATTCTATTGTATTCATTGTTACTTTTAGGTTCAGAGGCTGCAGGGACGCTGTGAGCAGCAGGAGAGGCAGCTGGGAGCTCTACGAGAGGAACTGAGGAAGACCTCCTTGGGTTTGGAAGCCTTTATTATCACCACTCAGCATTACTGCCTCAAGGTAGCCATATTTAATGATACTATACGTACACTCAATAAAGTGAATATTGTCTTTAGGCTATCCTGTACTAGAGCACCTGCCCATACAGAGATTTAGTGTTATTTTGTACCAACTGTAGCTTTCCTAAAATGGCAAATTAGTCCTTGGTGTACGGTGCAAATCATCATCAACATTTGTGGGTTTCCCCCACAATCTAAACTGTAATAACAGCATGATCTGAGGTCTATGTAGGTAGACAACAGTGCCCAACCTTTCCATTCACTCAGGGAAAACATATGCTCTCACGCACATGAACTCAAGATCACATACACTATTTAACATCAGGAGGTGATATTCACAGCATGGTCCAAGAGCAGCTGGATGAGCAAGAGTGATTGCGACTGTGGGAAGGGTCCTCCAGAGTTCAGTGTGTCACTGAGCAGGTTTCATCCAGCTCTGTGTGTCTGATGGAATGATTTAGCCTCTGAGGTGTGATAGCTGTAATACTGCTGCCAGACTGTCGAGGGACTGTCTGGCTTCTTTATGGTCACTGTCTGAGTGCTGCAATCACCAGCCCACAGTGCAGATATAGCATAAGACAAGAATGGTTTAAGTGTGAACTGTATTTGAGGGGGTTTGAGCTCCCTCTACTGGCATTAGTCAGACACAACAGCTACTGTAAAGCTATGGACAACAGCATGGAGGGTGCTGCACATGCATAAGTTTATTCATATCAATTAGTGAGACTGACAGTAATGTTTTTCATAAACAGCTCATGCAGCTTACATTCAGCTTAACCATGTTGTCTATCAGTATGTCTCCAGGTTTCTTATGTTTTATTATTTTCACTTAATATTTCTTTATGCTATGTCTTTTTATAAACATGAATACAAGGAAACATTGAGCATAATGAGAAAGTGGGCAAAGGCTTTCTTTTTACCATAAGCATATCTTAATATGTCAGCATGCTTAACTAAGTTGATGAACATGGTATACAATATCTGCTAAATATTAACATGTTAGCATTGGTGTTATGGTGAGTATATTAACATGCTGATGAGCACATTTAGCTTGAAGCTCCACTGTGCCTAAAACCTAACAGGGTTCTTAGTCTTGTTACATTAGACAGCAGTTAACCAGCTGTTTCACTGTTTGCATCTGTGCTCCAGAATCAACCGGATAACTGGTACTGGCATGTGCACAGTGTTAAAATGTTATTTATATCCAATTTTTCAGAATAAAACTACAGAGGAAAATCAAAGGAAATTGTCCATGGAAATACAGAAAATCCGAGAGGAAATGGGTGAGTGAGGATCAAGATTTGATAAAACAAATTAAACACTTGATCAGTCAAATCTAGTAACCAGTGGTAGTTTTTTTTTACAGCCAACATTTGGAATGGATAGTAGGAAAAGCACAGGTGTTAAAATAACACTAATGATGGCACATTGGTGATTTGAAGAAGTAATTTGCTCTGACAGAGTTTGAAATATTCAGGGAGCACTGTTTAATTCTGCTTGTTTTATTTTATAGAGAGTGATGAATCATACTCTGAATAATAAAAAAAACATTAAATGAATTCCCATTTGGAAGTTTTATTTTTAAAAATTATCTAGCTGAAATGAAAGTGAATTAACACTGACCCCGGTTTGTATAGTCATAGGGGTACAGTAAAACTTTAAATATTCTGCACTCTAATAAGATAACATCATGAGATTCACTCTGCTACATCCACAGCATCCAACTCAGCGCGATGGGAGAGACTCCATCGGGAGAAGACGGCGCTTGAGGTGGCGTTTGAACGAGAGCTGCAGGAGCTGCAGCTGCAGCAGGAAGCGGAGTTGGCTGCTGTGGAGGAGGGGCTCAGGAAGTGTCACTCAGCGGAGGCAGAACACTTAAGGGAGGAGCATCGATCCGAGATGGAGGAGCTGAGGACTCAGCAACAGGAGCAGGTGAGAGAAAGGCATCATGGGAGATGTGTCAAATTATCACATGAAATCTGATCAGTCAGTAATGTGCACGTATTTGTATGCATTAGGTGGAGGAGATGACTGCCAACCACCGGGCAGCCATTCAGGAGCTCAGAGACATGCATAACATCACCATGGCAACACTGCATGAGGAGCACGCCCGTACCATGAGAGGTGTGATTCTTAGACCTCGTTTAAGAAACACAATATGACACCAGCACAGCTAGAAACAACATCAAGTGTCTTTTTCTTCTCAATCTGTGTGTAGACCTAAGAAAAGCCCACGAGCAACAAAAGATGCTTCTGGAGGAGGATTTTGAGAAACTCAGGCTTTCTTTGCAGGTTTGTTGTCATAAAACTGATCCTTAATGATTCATTGGCTGATACACACTGATATGTACTGTAATGATGTAAATAATTGTGCTTGTGCGTGCTGATGTTCAGGATCAAGTGGATACCCTCACATTTCAAAACCAGAGTCTGAGGGACAAAGCCAAACGCTTTGAGGAGGCTTTGAGGAGGAGCACAGACGAACAGATAGTCGTGAGTTCACCTACTGTATAAGAAAATACACAGACACTGTTATCTTTCTTAACCCCACTGATCACTTTTTATCTTTCATTTCTCTTGTTCTTGTCTTTTTCTTTTTGCGTGTGCACATGTGTCTATCACAGGATGCTCTGGCTCCATACCAGCACATTGAGCAGGATCTGAAGAGCTTGAAGGAGGTTGTGGAAATGAAGAACCAGCAGATACACCAGCAGGAGAAAAAGATCTCTGATCTGGAGAAAGTGGTAGGCTCAAATAAGCTATCTGAACAAACAAACACATGCACACTGGTCTGGATAGGCATGATGTGGTGAATGAAGATTACACTGTGGTTGTATTCTACTTTTGAGCAGGCCCAAAAGAATGTGTTCCTTGAGGAGAAGGTGCAGGTTCTGCAGCAGCAGAATGAAGATCTGAGGGCTCAGATTGAAAACAACTTAACCCTGTCCAGGTAAGACACATTCAGTCATCATTATTATCGTTATGTTGATGCCCCAGGTTTTTTTGTATGTGTCTGAAACCGCAAGTCACTGCCCAAGCGCCGGATTTTGACGACTTTGGAGTGAGACCGAGTTGAGTTTTGCAGTTGTTAAACAAAGACCACCCCTTTACTCCAATGCATCAAGATTTTTTTAAATTATTAGATTCTTAGTTTTCTGTAGAGACATGTGGGAAAAACAAAATTTTCTCAGCAAAATCAACGGAGGGGGAGTGATTGATATACAAATTATCCTTTTGTAGGTGAGGTATTCCTTTAACTTTAATGCTGTATGCTGATGCTGTAACATTAAGTCTATCTCTACTGCTTATGTAGCACATGCTACTTTCTGCTACAGTCAGCTTCCTCTGTGCTGATTTTCCTGCAGGCAACTGTCAGAGGAGAACGCCAACCTCCATGATTCAGTGGAAAAGGAGAGCACTGAGAAGAAGCGGCTGAGTCGGAACAACGAGGAGCTTCTGTGGCGCCTCCAGACCAGCCCCCTCATGTCCCCTGCCTCCTCCCCACTGCACCGCTCCTTCTCCACCTCCCCCGTCCCCTCATCCCCATTCTTCTCCTCCTCACCTGTCGCAGGGTGCGACTCCCCCACCCACTGCCAGGGCTGTCTTCAGCAGGCTCAGTACTGCTCCCCCTCTCACAGAGCCAACACCAATCAAAATCTCTCCCCTGGACCAGGCACACCCACTCACAGGGCAGCGAGCAATCAGAATTACTCCCCTGGCCCAGCGACGCCTACTCACAGAGTGCCAGCCAATCGCTGTAACTCAGCTGCTTGTCTCAGTTCCTTGCAGAGATAAGCTCATATCTCTCTCTCTCTGTTTCATTTTCTTAACTGTTTCATTCTCTCTCATTTCCATCATTCTCTGCTTTTCTCCTCCCTCTCTGAATGGCATTGAAGTGTCAACACACCAAGGTTACAGAGTTACTTCTCAAACTTCTACAGCTGGTGGTGTCCCAACTTACACACAGATAACTATTGTAATGAGAAAAAGGATGCAGATGACTGTGGCTCAGTTCTCTGTCCTCCCAACTTGTATAAACACAGAATCTTGAAATGCAGACTGTACATAGTGTATGATAGTGACACAGGCAGTGTTGACATGTAGTGAAACCTCCCTGTATGGGTAGTTATGAGTCCCGCACAGACAGAAAGAGTACAGATGGAAAGTAGCACACTCTTGTCACCTGAACACAATACTCTGATGTGTTAGGAAAAAAAAAAACATGCTCACGTCCTCAATAAAATAAGCTATACTCTCTCTCACACTGGGATTAGTTTCTCATAGTCAATTCTTTTTTTCTTTTCTTTTTTTCATCTGAAAAATATCCCCAACAAAGCGCCTTATACTCAGTCCTCCCGTCTCACCAGCAGAGAGCGACCAATATTCCACAAAGGACTTTGGATACAGAATTGGTTTGTAAATCAAACACGTTTTTTTTTTCAGCCTCCTCAAGGTGTGTTTAACATTTTGTAATTAGTTCCATGGCTGATAGTTTTACTCGCAGTGTGGGACGACCCTACCTGGAAGCCCAGCCATGTTACCTGCAAAATCCAGAGGACTTAATGTTCAACCCTTTGCCAGGTCTTCCTTGCAGCATCTCGCCACATGAGCTACTCTTCACTTTCGGGATCCCTCAGGTCAACTTGCAAAAACTACGTCTGCCATTTTGTATTTACCTCAGCGGGAATGTGCAGTCTGTTGTGTGTCTGTAGCTCAACAGCGACAACAACGACAACAACAACAAAAACACACAGCTACCGGGGGGGAAACCTTACACAGGAATCACTGTTGTAAATGTTGTTGTGGATTTCTTTAAAATGTGATGTTTATATCTAATTTATTTGTTACATGTGTTTTGCTACTTAAGCAAGCATGTACTGTGAAAGTCTTCCAGTCTTAATGTGAAACTTATTATTGCTGTGATCTGTCTATTTATTAAGCTTGAGGTGTGAAGGACACGAATGGTGTTTGTAATATTGAAAATATCACCTATGGGACACAAGTGGAATATGCGATGTACCCCAGGAGGAAGGAGATGTATTGACTTGTTGTCGTCATACATACATAGGTGGTGTTCAGGGGACTGTCTTACAATATGATATGATATGGGTGTATAAGCTACAGTAAAACATAACACAGGTTAACCCTCTGTTTACCTCTTTGTGACTAGTTGCAAAGATAAGTGTATCCCTTTCTGAACCTGTGTTAACCTCTTCAAACCTCTTCTGATGCTTCTGGTTTCGTTATCTGAATGACACTTTTTATCCTTCGAGTGTTACGTTCAAGCTTTTGCAAGCTCCGCTGAATCCTCAGTGTGCAAGAAGATATCGTTCAGGGAATTATTTTCTAAATTTAGATTAGAAGTACTTTTTTTCCCTTTTGTATAGCTTCTCTACAGAACATTATACACTCTCAAGATATTTCCCGAGATAATTTTCCTCTTATATGAAATACAACAGAGAATCCAACCTTTGGTATATTAAAATGAGAATTATTTTATAGCATACAATTTGTCATAGCTGCCTCCTGTACTGTAACTAACTTACCCTCAGGGTCCTAATCTTTCATCTGGCTTTGAACAAGTCAACACTAAAAGAAATTACAGTGTAATCTCAGTAATTTACTCGCACATGAACAAACAAAATGAGCCGCTGTGAGGGAACAATGCCGCTGAGAGGGGATGAGGGTAAGTCTGTGTTGGCTGTTGGCAGTCACAGCAACATTGCTAAAGGGAGCATGGGTTAGTCACTTTTATCTGTTAAGTTACAGGTTGAGTAAATGTAACCTTTTACCAGCATGTAAAGGATGACGTTTCCGGGTTTTCAGTATTAGACTTTTAAGTAGATCTTTAATTGCTATACCAGCACTTTTTATGGCCGTGAAAAAGTAAAAAAAATCTTTTCACGGATCTTCAAGATTTTTTGTATGACACATACACAGGGTTAAACACTCTTAAACGAAAGAATGTCAAAAAACAGCATACAGGATTTGAGAAATGTGTCTCAATTCTCACTTGTTTTATACCTACACTGATGATTTTTGAGAATGTCTTTGCATAACGATCAATTGTAAGAATATACCAGTCAGAGAGTCACTGTGTTTTTCGAATGTTTTAGAATTACAGTTCACCTACATCGATGAATGATTCTTCAGGGTCCTCCTAAAGGTCACTTCAGGTGCAAAAAAAACAAGTCAACAAGGATGCAACAAAAACTATTGTTTACAAATGACAGCGTAAAGTCACAGATTTCATCTTAAAATTAATCTCTCATCTGAATGGACTTTGATTTCTAAACAATGAACTGGTATTGTAAAACCCTTCAATGTGTCCTGTGGACATCTGTGTCTCACTATGCGCTGAATGTCAAAAATGTAATGACTGCATTTTATACGAGTCATTCGTGTGATTTTGTTTGATATAGAAGGACCTCTTGTCTGACCACTATGTAGCAGCCATTTAATATGTAGCACTTGGTTAAGCCTCCCCACAAGAAACATGAGTCATTTATTGAATCCATTAGGGATGTGAAACGGCCATGTTCATGTTTAAATGCTGTGTGTAGCAAATGTTTCCATGGCTTGTCAACTTTCAGCACTACAATTTGAATTTGTGGAGGTAAGCTATACATTTACCCCGTGTGGATTTGGTCCAGAGACAAAGTTTACTGAATTTGTTAGTTCTGGCACTGATTGTATGTTTGAATGTAAATACATTTACAACATGAGTTTGTGTCTTAGTGCACCAACAAAGTAATCGAAGCATGTTTTTTCTGTCTTTGCTGTTTCTCGCTCTCCCTTTCTCTTCTTTTACCTCTCTGCATTTGTGATGGTCAAAATGTAACCGTAGCGTAGGAGGCCTAGAGGACGAGGAATGAGATAGTTCAACATGTAATGTATACAAAGTATGTTGATGCTTTTATTTGTACTTTTTGGGGAGAACACAGTATTAAAAAATATTCAAAAAAGTCATGTGATGTCCATGTTTCATTGAAGTATAAGTCCCGCTGTCAATTTAAGAGTGTGATTACCTGCTACATGTATTCTGTATACAGGTGCTCGTATAACATGTGCACACACACCAATCTGTATACAGGGGAACTAATCATAAGAGTTCTAGGAAAACTACAATGTAGTTATTTGAGGGCTGTGGCAACACCAACTCCCTGAAAAATGTCTGACAAGCCATAAAAAAGCTTAAAAATGTTGTGATTATTCACGTATTTATCATTATTTAGCCATTTTATTTATTCATATTTTTATTAAATTACTAAAGTATTATAAAGAAATTAACTGCAAGATGACCAGTGTTAGATTTCTTGTTAAAATGATGTCTTGATATATCATTATACTGCAGTCTGAGCATCAGGAAGCATATATTTGAATGGACCATTTCCAGAGGGTTAGAGTGAGGGAGATTAGACCTCTTTAAGCTCTTCTTGTTCATTTTATGACCAATAAAAGTTGATTAAAAATATCTGAAGATATATAAAGCTTATATAAAAGCGTCCACTATAAGCAATGGTTAGTCTTCCAGCCCAGTCTCCCAGAAATTACATATATACATAGGCTAATAATTCATTTGAAATAGCAAATACATTTTGAGGGAAATGTAATGCTGAGTGACTTATGTTGATACTGGAAGTGTCAGCAAAATGTTTACTGAAAACACATTTCAGTTGTTTTCCACCTAAATAGGCAATACCGCAGTACGGTTTCCTGCCGTGGTGACTACAGCATTGTTTCTTCATTCCTGTTCAACCAAATTCACGATTTTTCACTCAACTTAACAAAAGTGCTTGCGTTAACTAAACCTAAGACCAGATTCTGGACATGAACCCAGTTCCATGAGTTCTGGTTTTGAGGTCCAACACTTCGTACGCTGGTAACCGAATGCACCAGTAATGCACCAATTATAGTGTTTCTCACTGGTTAATAAATGTCTAAATGTTGGCTATGTATGAAAAAAAAACTTACTTGGAATAAAAACAGGCCAGTCTTTATAGCAAGGTCATTATTATATTTAAACTTGCAATAACCGATATCACAAAATAACACAGGCTTAACACTCACTTCATTTGGTGACAATTTGCATTATCAGCAAGAGATTTTACCATGCCATTGTGACATACTGTTATTATACCAGCTCTGCTATAACCAAACCTCTGTCCACCATCCCTTCAGCCTCTGTGAGGACTAGCAGACCATCTGTTCCTCTGTTCCTCAACCCTCTGATACCTCAGCTGCTGCCTACCTTGCCAAGGACTTTTCTCCACACCATGTCTCTGGGGCTTATGGCAAAACCTGCTTGCTCTCAGGACAGGCAGACTACAGGGAGATTCAAGTCTCCACAACAGAGAAAAGAGTTTGTCCCTGGTATGGAGAGCCTGAAGCGCTGAGTTCCTCTGCCTCCCTTGCCTAATGGGTCACAATCCTGCATTTGTCTCGCCAAAGGATTAAACTGCTTACTCCTATACCTGTGGCTGCTGGGCCTCTTCCACATGCTAAAAGTCTGACCTGCTGTTTCCTCTGAACCAGCTGGCATTCAGCATGTTTATCACCTGCCACACAGCAGGCAAGGCAGAGCAAACTGTACCCAGGGCCTCCAGCTGTAGGACTTGTCTTTGTCCACCCTCATTCCTCAACTCTTATCCCAACAGCCCCATCTACATTCATGCCTCCTGTTTCATTTCTCCCCCACGCACCTTCTTCTGTCTCCTGTTCAACACGTCTCAGCATTGCACTTCTCTCCGTTCCTGCTTGCTCCCTCTCAAACTACATCCTCTGCTCAAATGGTGTCACTCCAAGGCCCTCCTCATGTTAATGAGTCATTAGGATGAGTTCACTACAGGAAGTTGGACAGTTCAAATAAAGCTCAGACTTTGTTTAATTTTTCTGTTGTATGTCAGAGCTGCTGTATGGCTCAGTCACGTGCATCGTAGGAGCAGTTTAAAAGGTACTAGCAGTAGAAGTGGCAGTAACAGCAGCACAGTTAGTCATACCAGTGCCAGTAGCCTCAGCAGCAGTATAGTTACCATAGGAGCAGTGTTAGCAGGACCAGTACAATAGGAGTAATATTTACGGTGGTAATGTAGTTGAAGGTGTTTTAGCAAAAGATTCACATGGTAGGGAAGGTACTCTTTAAATTAAATGAAACAAATATATGCTTTTCATTATGTAATCATTGAAATTACAATTAATTTGTATCTTTGGGTTGTGCTTATAGTGATGTATCCTGTAAAGACATACAGATGAGTAACAACGTTTTGGATCCCACGTTTTTTTAGAATTACCTAAAAAGGAACTGACATGTTAAGGGAAAAAAAATCAGGAACTGAGAAAAGATTACGTAATTGGTCCTGATAAAATGCCATGTAACAGAAAATTCTTAGAGAAGTACTCAGAAAAGATTACATAGTTTGGTCCTAACTGTAGTAAAAAATGCAGACATTGTTCAAGCGATACTGTTTTGATTAATTATTTCCAGTTAATTTCTTGTGTAACCAAGAGTCTTTTGGTCAGCTGAACACGGCTCAACGTGAACAAGCTTACAATTGAACTATGTAGAGAATAGTTTCCAGTTCTTAATGGATAGTGAATGAATATTTACTTGGGATTAAATGGAGAATGTCTTACAAGTAAGGTAAGACATTTCGACATATAGGCTGCTTGACTGAAAAAACAACAACCCTGAAATTAGTTTTGTTTTTGTGAAAAGAAACTGCAACATTCTGGATTTTGGTATGATATTTCCTGTTTTATTTTGAAGTACTACCCTCTTGTGTCCGTTTCCTGTGTTTTCCTGCCTTTCATCAACTGCACCTGCTGCCACTTACTCACCTGCCCCTGATTATCCTCTCAGCCATCCCTGTGTATATGTACCCACCAGCGCCTCATGTCTTTGTCCCTTTGTGTCATAGCTTTCTAGCAGTCTCTATTTTTTTTTTGTTTTTTTTAACATTTTTGGACTCCTTGTTTGTGTACCACCTTTTTGGACTGAAGTAAAGACCATGCTTTTTTTAAACCCCCCTCTGCCTCCTGTGTGTTCTCTGCATTTGGGTCTGAGTTATTACTGTGACAGGATAAAATAACAGAATAAACAGCAGAATTTTACTATTTCAGTTTCATGGTTTTATATTTTGCCCGTATTTATTAATATACTTATTAATTTCATAATGTAATTATTTGATGCTAAACAATTATTCGTCTTCAAATTGCACTGCTAAAAGTACAAATTGTTTCGTGGTGAAATTGTTGCCACCACTGACTCACTGAGCAGATACACTGTGGCTGCCTATGACCTGTGTGTGTGCTAACACTACATATGTTTGTCAGATTTTCATTCAGTATTTAGAATTCTGCTCCATTCAATATTCTCAGGCTTTGAATGCATGTTATCAAATGTTATTTAACATTCATTCATTCTTTAATGAAATCCACTTAATACTCTCGGACTATTCCATATTTCCAAATTCTCAGTAATTTATTCTCTGTTTTCAATTTAATCTTGTCATAAATTATTACTTTTAAGGCTCTGACATTTCAACTTTGTTGTGATACTAACAACACTGTCTTATATTCTCTGTTACTATTGGCCAACACATACTGTAACACATCAGGGAGGCAGTAGCTCAGTCCATAGGGACTTGGATTGGGAACCGGAGGGTGGCCAACCTCTCCATTGGCAGCCCCCTTGCTATGACATGCATATAATGGTCCTGTTTGTCCGTGTGTATATTTTGGGCCTGTGTGTATGTGACATCAGAGTGAAAAAAAATTGAATTTTTCCTCTGGTATTAATGATTAGTATATCTTCTTCATAATAATATTAATGTATGTATATGTGTTTATTTCTTATTTTAAGATTTGAACAGAGGTTTCAAATCATTTATCAAAGACTCCAAAAGTAACCTTTAAAAATCTACATTCATTTATTTACCGTGGATTTATCTAAAATTGTATAAATGAATAATGATAAATATAATAATGGATAAATTAATAAAAAGAATTCCTCACTATTTGATATTTTTCAAATTCTTTCATTTGTTATTTCAAAAATAAAAAGTAATTAAGTGTTCTTTTTGCCATAGAGTCTGCTTATTTAAAAATGTAACCTGAAGCCCTATTCTCTTTTATCTTTTATCTTTAAGGAAACTGTTCAATGGTAAAGAGATAAAATCAACACTTTCTATGCCAGTTAAGTGAAAAAAGCATAAACATATGCTTTGTAAGCTTTATGACCAAAGAACAAATTTCAACAGTTTTAAACATTTGACATTTAATTCAGTATCAAAATATGCAAATGATCAACATTACATCATATAATATCATGAAAGACACACTATCCATTATATAATTTTAACAACATATGATACCAGTTTCAAAGAAAATTTTGTCAAAGAAAATCACATTGGTTAGTAGGCACTGACCGGATCACAGCTTCACTATATAAACCATGCAGGCGTTTCCATGATCCATCTAAAAAATGTCAACCATACAACAATAGCATCCTGAACGTTTGTTTTTCGAGGAGCCATAGAAATGTTCCCTGATCCCATTCAATTCATGTTTTTTTTTTCAGTGACTTTACAAGATGAACAAACGGAGGTATCACTTCCGCATGAAGTGACTTAAGACATCCATGGGCAGGGGGAAGATGATGGTGGAGTTCTTCTCTGCTGCGATGGTGTTGAGAGTCTGCAGGTAGCGAAGCTGCAAGGCTGACGGAGACTCTGCAATCACGAGGGAGGCCTCCTTCAGGGCGCGAGATGCGTTCATCTCACCCTCTGCTGCAATCACCTACATCCAGAAAGAGAGATTGTGATTAACAGGTAATTATTGTATAACACTGTATGCATGTACTGAACGTGTCTTGCTGCATGTGCTAACCTTGGCTCTGGCCTCTCGTGCAGCCTCTGCCTCAGCAGCCATGGCTCTCTGCAGCTGATGTGGCAACTTCACATCTTTAATCT